GTTGGGGCTGGCTGCACGGCTCCTGCCTGCACGGAAAGGGCCCGGGGCAGGGGCCCGGCTGCTTTCCGCATGTACCGCGGCTCTCCGCGCCGTCTCCAGCGCTGCGGTGCTGGGGCTTGGTTTGCTCTGCCCTTCCTCGTACCTGGCGGTAAGAGGAAAAGGGATGTATGGTGTCTCTGGGAGTATTTTAGAGTGCGTATTTACGGTTTCCTGAAGTTGGGTGAGGTAAGGGAAGCAGCTGTAAGGAAGGGTATGGGGTTTCGATTACTGGAAGTGCCTTCCCTAACCGGGACCAGTGGTTTACTGGAACTGTGCACCTTCCTTTTACACCTGGTAAGCCTTAGGATAGCTTTAAAGAGCCCACCAGCTCTCTTAAGTATAAGTGCAGCATTCTTCACTTTTGTGAGAATGTAGTTCCTGAGTTTCTTCTTTTTTAGTAAAACAAGGAACTCAAACAGGGAACATGTGAGGCACTTTCAGTTTCCTTCTGTGTGCTATGTGATTAATGTTCTTGTCTATATGACAGCTTTGTGAAATAACAGCATTGAGAGAGGGAGAACTAGGAGAAAATAGCTTTCCTACTGTATTTTAGCAACTAGACAGAAGAATTAGGAACTTTGCATGATTGGTTACCTTTCCATTATATTTGTAAAATGGCATACAGGTCACAGTGAGCAGCCCGATGCTATTCATGGCAGCTGTTTAATCCTGAATGATCCTGTTCTGCTGCTCTGAATTCATTTTTATTGTGGAAGTAGAATATTCAGCAGTGTTGTATAGCATGAATGCATCTATGTTCACCATTATGCAGTAAGGCCTTTGTGCAGGGCCTGTGTACATCATCATCATTTATACCTTTCCCAACAGGAACAAAGTTGTCCTGTGACTTTGCTTAATTGACCTGGGTGCTGTTTAGACCAGGCAGTGTCAAGTACATCACTGACAAAATCAGAGATGCTCTTTAATTGTTTTGATATACCTATTGAGCGCAACAAAAAAAAAAAATATCCCCTCCTTCTGTTGTGCTTAAGGTCAACTGGTGCATATTTAGTTGTGGGTTTTTTTTAAGTAATGCTTACAACTAATGACATAGCACAGTAAATGATGGAAATAGTTGCTGGTTTTCTTGTGTTGATTTTACAGGGGGTGCTTATAAGGCAGCAAAGCATTTATTTTGAGGTGTCTTGTCATCTGTGTTTAAAAGGAGATGCCAAATGTGACTCCACATTGACATATTTCGGTGTTCCCTTTTTATAATGTAAGGTTTTCAGCCTGTATTTTTGAAGTATCTTAGGAGGTCTGCTTTAATTCTAAACCACTTTTTAAAATTTTGCATGAATAGCGAGGGTGGGAGAGGGAGGGAGATTAGTAATTCAAGTGTATTCAAAATGTACATGATTGTTTGGAGCCATAGATGTAACGAGGTCCGGTATTTTTTGGTTCACAAGCAAAATCTGCTTTTGAACTGATACTGGAAGCTCAAGCTTTAAATTTTACCTTGAGATTTTTTCCTTGTGATTTAGTTCTTTACCTAATTCCGTTCACTTTTTTCTTCCTGTCCATGCTTCTGCTATCTTGTCCTCTGGCTGCTCTTACTGTGTTTCATTCTGTTTTGCCTTTTTTGCCTTTGTTGCTTCCTTGTTCTACCCCCCAAAAATGCCTTTGGAGATGTTTTGCTTACAGAGCACATGTGTTCCAAGTTATGTTAGACTGACAACATCAGAAATAAACTACTGCATAAATAAGTGTTTTACCCAAACTGAGAATGACTTGGGTAAAAGTGCTTTTTCCTCAAGTATATTTAAACAGGAGTGTCTGTTGACAGTATACTATAGCAGGGCTACGTGACAGATCTCTCTTGGTTTGTATGACTTTTATTTCTTTGCCACATTGCAGTAAAAGAGATTAAATGTAGCTGACCTCATTCTTCCACTCTCTTTAATGAGAATTGTTTATAAAATGCCACGTGCATAAGGGCTTGTTGCTTGCTTCACTTGTAGTCTCTGTTTTGCCTAGTAACCTTTGCCAGTTATAGGAAAAACTCTTAATTTTTTAATTCTCAATCCTACATCTTCTGAAAACAAACCCTTAAATATGAGGAGCGGATTTGAGCTCTTAACTAGTTATCAACTTCAGTCATGTAAAAGTATTATGCATTGCTGAAAAACAAGGGTTGCCCTACTGAATTAGTTTAAATGTACTGTACATCTAAAGTATGTCTGTCATATTTTTTCTCCTTCAGAAATCGATGAAAGGATTCCTCTTTGCGAAGCTGTATTTTGAAATAAAAGAATATGAACTTGCTAAAAGGTAAAGTTTTGATGTATGGTTTTTTTTCTGTTCTTTAAACTGTAAGAAATGCTAAATGAATATGAAGTGGACCAGAGAAACCAAGATCAATATCATGCTGTTTTAAGGTAGCAGTAAATGTGAGTATAGAGTGCAATTTAAATCTTTATAGAATCATTAAGGTTGGAAAAGACCTCAAGGATCAACAAGTCCAACCCAACACCACCTAACTCACTAAACCATGTCCCTAAGCACCACATCTACACGTTTCTTGAACACCACCAGGGATGGTGACTCAACCACCTCCCTGGGCAGCCTGTTCCAATGCCTGATCACTCTTTCAGTGAAGAAATTTTTCCTAATATCCAGCCTAAACCTTCCCTGGTGTAACTTGAGGCCATTTCCTCTTGTCCTATCACTTGTTACTTTAGAGAAGAGGCCAGCACCCACCTCACTACACCCTCCTTTCAGGTAGTTGTAGAGAGTGATATGGTCTCCTCTCAGCCTCCTCTTCTCTAAACTAAACAACCCCAGCTCCCTCAGCCGCTCCTCATAAGACCTGTGCTCCAGACCCTCACTAGCTTCGTTGCCCTTCTCTGGACTCGCATAAAAGATTGGTGATGTGGTACTGAGAAACTTGATCTGGTTGAAATGTTTGTGTTTTTTTCCTTGCTGTATTATGTGGTTCTTACCATTTCTGCAAACTAGTGCTTTTATTTTTTTAATAAACAGACACACTTGCTGGGAAGTAAGTAGCATGTAAAACAATGTTGCTTCTTTAAGGTCCAAACAAGTAATCTAAAACAAAGTGCATCTGTACTTCCTGTATGGCAGATTAAGTTATCATTATAGGTTGGGGGAGGGTGTATTGTTGAAAAATATTGCTCAAGTAGCTGACTTTTTTTTCCTCTCCATAGGTATATATCTACGTATCTCAGTGTACAAGAGAGAGATCCCAAAGCACATAGATTTCTTGGACAAATTTACGAAGCTGAGGATAACATAGAAAAAGCTTTTGGGTGTTACAAGGTAAGTTCTCCATTGAACCCATGATGTCCTGCTTTATTCCTTTGTAAGTGGAATTTTAAAATCCATCTCCCCTGGACATTCTCAAACCCATAGAAGAAGATGTGATCCTAGAAAAACTGTTTATACACATTTGACAATGGAAAGCATATGAAGCACTGCAGAGGAAATTCTTGATATCACTTGCTTCAGTAGTATGTTTCTAAATTGATTCTTTGTTTTCTGTTCTGGACTTGATCTTTGTGCTACCTGCTGTTAAATTTTTCGCATGTCGTACATTGCCCTTCAGACTAAGGAGCTGTGACTGTTGTAGCATTCCTTAATGTGGACTGTGATGACAGCAGGGATCTAGTTGCTACTAGAAGACTGTAGGCCTACTGTTTTTTGTTTGGTTGGTTTTAGAGGGGGTAGGGACAGAAGGGATGGGCAAATTAATTATTAGGCAAGTGTATAAATGTCAAATTCCTAAACCCAAATCCGAATGTTTTTATTCTGGTTTTGGGGAGGGCGATGATGTGTTCAGAAGTCTCGTTGCCAGCACAACTCCATGAAGTGCTATCAAACTTCTTAAACTGTGTGTCTTAAGTATTTTTTGAAAGTGTCCAGATCTGGCTGGACTAGAGGTCCTTATAGACATACTGTGTGTCTATAGCAGTCGCTAGTGGTAGATGCAGAGGAGCTGGCTTTTGCATTGTTTCTCTTATGCTCTTCTGAATTCCAGCAGTTTTATTTGGGTGCTGTAAACTAGTGGTGGCATTTAGATCTATTAACACTGAATATATTTTTAAAAATCTTTCTAACTAATTTGAATAGCTGGGTCTATTTGTGGGGGAATAACTTTCTTGTTCTATATGGATTGTAAGATCAAGTTACTTTTTTTTTTTCCCTCCTCTGTGTGCATGGGGAAAACTAGCGTTCTGTGGAGTTGAACCCAACACAGAAAGACCTTGTATTGAAGATTGCAGAGTTATTATGCAATAATGACATTACTGATGGAAGAGCAAAATACTGGGTTGAGAGGGCTGCTAAGCTCTTCCCTGGGAGTCCTGCTGTTTACAGATTGAAGGTAAATTCTAGATTACCTCTGTTCTGTAGCTTAAAGAAACTTTCAGCATCTGACTGGAGTCCTTTTTGCATGTCACCTTGTGCAAAACCGTTCCTGGCTAAATTTTTTTAGAATCTTTAATGTTGAAACTATTAGGTGGTACTTCCTTTGCAGTGTGACATTTTTGTTTAGCTTTCAAGAAGGCTGCAGCTTTCATACCCTTTTTAATGTTTCAAGGTTACTCCTCCTCAAAAGTGATGAGAAACTGTGTTAGTTACCACATCTGAGAAGTTAAGATTAGGCCCTACTTGGTCTTTCTGTTGTGCAACTGGCAGGAAGGTAGCAGGCCTGTGAACTCAGGCTTTCTTGCTCTATGCTGCTTTTTTGTTTTTTCAATTGATACTGTGATCAACTCTGCACAATGTGAGAAATGCTGTAATTTTCATACTGTGTAAATGCTTTCAGTCATGCAATCTTACTTTTGCACAGGTTTATTAATTTTGTGTAGCTAGGCAGCAACCACATTGAAGCCTTGAGATGTCTGGGTTTTTTAAGCAAGATAGTCTATGGCAACGTATGCTGTAATTGAACCAAATGGTTTGACAAGTGTTACTTACTTGTTGGTAGCAGGCAAATTCTTCTGAGGGTTTTCTTCCATGATAGCTATCTCCATTTTTAAATATTTGAATATTGCATCAAACAGTATGCAATACCTGAAAGCTGTTAAGAGTAGTGTAGTTGAGTAATTTAGTCTACACAGTGGAGGAAAGAAAACTGTCTGGTACTGTAGTTGCTGAAAAGATTCATGTGGGAAATGAAATGTTAATATGTTGCCTTTATGTTTAACAGGAGCAGTTGTTGGATTGTAAAGGTGAAGATGGATGGAATCAGCTTTTTGACTTGATTCAAGCAGAACTTTATGCAAGACCAGATGATGTCTACATAAACATCAGATTAGTTGCACTCTACCGTTCAAATAATAGATTAAGAGATGCTGTGCTCCATTGCCAGGAGGCAGAGAAGAAAATACCGTTGCAGTCAAGCTTGGAATGGTGTTCCTGTGTTGTAGAGACACTTGAGGTGTTTAATCATATTTTGATCCTGTGATAGTTTTCTGTATCTTTTTAACTGGTCTATGTCTCTTAATGTCATTACTCTGACAGCTATTTCCCAAGTGATTTAACTCCTTCAAATGCAAGTCTACTGAAAACAGTGGAATTACAAAATACCTCTTGGGTTTTTAGTTGGAATCTTCTCCCTAAAATTAAGCCTTATAGAGCTATTGAGTTACTAACTTCAAAAGCTAAGCTAAATACAGCAGTTGCATCAGGGATAAAATTGCTCAAGCAAATAGTTCCCTGGAACTTTGATGCTGAAGAATATGTTAAGGTCTCACCTGTGAAACTGCATTATGCAGTAAATGCTGCTAATATGTCTTGGAGAAGTACTGCCCTTTCTTTCATGAAAGGATGGCTGTTCCTTATCTTGTGATGAACTTTTTTCTTTAGGAATATCTGGAATCTTTACAAGACTTGGAGTCTGATAAAAATAATTGGAGAGCTATCAAGAAAGATCATCTACTGGCCTATTCCAGCTTTGTCAAGCTGACACTTTCTTCTAGAGATGTTCAAGAATGCAGAGAGGCACTTGAAAGGTACAGTTTTAACTTTCCTGTAGTAAAAAAAAATTGTCTAAGAATTCTTTAGGGGTTTTTTTTCTGGGTCAAAGAACATATGTCGAGCTTCTATTTTACTGCTTAACTTGTTTCTGGGTGGGAGAGGAGATTCTCTGTACTAGCCATTAAGAATGGTACTTACTGGGTTTGAACCCTAAGCTATCTTTTGACTGATAACGCAGGCCTGATTTGAATAGTCAGCACACAGCCATGGAGAAGACTCATTGATATCTTGGATCAATTAACTTTGTACCTTCTTTCCCTTCAATAAGAGAATGTTGTTCTGTACTTCAGCAATTGACTAATCTGGATTTCCCAGACAGTTAAAAAAACCCCCACTCACCAATAAGAAACAAAAAACCCAAAACCACTTCTTGTGTATCAGCTTTGTCCTTGTTATTTTGTTCTAAATTAACACATACTGGAATAATTACTAACTTTATATAGTACAATTGTGAGGGAGGAAGCCACTTGCAGTAAGAACACTCTCTTTCAGGGAAAACTGATGGTGTTGCAGGGCCAGCTAGCCAGTTGACTTCAAAGCATATCATTTGTGTCACACCTAGAGTAGTACAAAATAATGTTTGTAGACAATGTATTGATTAAGATTTGTGTTCCTTTCTTTCCATTATCTTCCCTTTCTTACTGGCTTTTATTTATTTACCTTTGTTCCTCAATTATGCAATGGCTGTTACATTGTCTTTTGTAAAACAATATTCTTCAGTCTGTTAATCTTGAATGAGTATTTGAAGTAATACAGACAATGGATGAGGAGTACTTAATACCCGAGTACATTTTTTCTTTTTCTCCTCTAACATTTACCAAAATCATCTTGAATTTTCTGCTGCCTTTTTGTTAGAGCCTTTCAAGGTGATTACATCTGAAGCACTACTTCAGATCATGGCAATGCTAACAGCCATTGTAGTTTTGTCAGGTAATTGAAGGAGTGTTTTAACTGTTTTCTGGAAGGCCCCTCCTGAGTGGGGTTATGTACTAGCCTACAGCTACTCAGATTTCTACAGTACCTTCTGTTTTTCGAGAGCCTGTGCTAGCTGTATTTTGGGCCTTTGCTCTTCCCTTCATTCATCAGAGAGTAACTGGTGCCTTCTGCATGTCTCTGAATCTTCAGTAGTGAACAGGTTTAGCCATGTGGTTTGGGAGAACAGTTTTGAAAGCAGCTGTGCAAAGATGTGCTGAAAAAGACTCTAAATATCTAGGTAATATTAAATAAGTTTTGCTTCAATAAACTAAGTTGGGAGTTTGTGACCATTATCGTACTTCCTAGTGCATGCAACTTGTGTTTAAGCAATAGAGACAGTACTAACCATTGACTCGTGAAGTTACCTGATTCAGTTAAATAATGTCAAACAAAACCATTTGCTATAGCTTTTCCCAGAACTCTGTTTAGAATGAATCTTCTCTACATTTTAGTTTTGATCGTGTGCTTCAGTCGGTGAAACCGTATGTGAACGGAGCTGATGAGTTGTCTCGTACCTTCACGGAAATGAAAGGACAACTATACATGCATGCTGGAACTTTGCTACTGAAAATGGCCCAACACAATGAGGCACAGTGGAGAGCTGTGTGTGAACTAGCAGCATTGTGTTATCTGATAAGTTTCCAAGTAAGTAATTTTTCAGTTTGACTTTAGTTGATGCAGTTCTTGAAATGTTCTTTCTGTACATGTGCTGAACTCTTGTATTCCTGAGATAAACTAGTGTTTGTGTGCCTAAGGAAAGACTCCGTGCTCACTCACCAAACCCTGCTCTTTCACAATTCTTTAAAAGGTTTCAAATTACATGAATAGAATAAAAGTGTATCTTTCAGGTTACTCTGACAAGGGAAACAGTTATTCTTAAAGGCTAGTGAGTTTATTTCCTACAGTATATTGCCGTTTCTGTAATACATCTGGACGCATGTGTTAAGTGTTAGGCTTATTGCTATAGGAAGGAAGGAGAGAACTGAATAGTTCCAATATACTTGTTGATGTAGAAAGCACAACTAACAAATCCAGCTTAATTCTTTGCCTTATGAAGTAAAATTAATTGTCCTTTTTATGCCACTCTTTGCATTCCAGGTATTACTTGCTCTTGTGTGCACTTAATGTTACTTGCAATAGCTATAACTGCCCCCTTGTGGTTTCGTGTGTTTTGGGTGGGTTCTCCATCCCCTCCCCCAGCCCTCAGGATGTGTGACATAATACCTTCAAAATGAATTATGTATTTTTTTTCTGTATTTTTCTAGTGCTAAAAAAAAGGCATGTTTCCTAATTCTTAAGACTAATTTAAATGATACACTCTTACTGTGAAAAAGCTGTAATAATTCTCTCCTTACTTCACCAGGTTCCTAAACCAAAGTCAAAACTAATAAAGGGGGATCAAACTGGACAAGATGTGCTAGAAATGTCGTCCTGTGATCGAAAAAGCCAGTCTGGTAATAAAAATACCTACTTAATTTGATTTTAGTGTTATGGATAGTTACTTTAAGAGCTGAGTGGTTTGTTAAAGAACACATTTGTTATCTTGAAATGTAGTGTTAGCATTTCAATATGTGATAAAACCTGGGTTCTGACTACATATGTAAAACAAAACCTAGTTTGATCCTGACACCTAAAGGTTTTTTCCTCCTCTTTAGCATGCTAGTAGGGTGCATTCTCTGTTCAAGTGGGTTTTTTTCCCCTCCTTTTTGTCTCTCCAGCACACTAAGATGGAATTTAACTTTTATGGTCTCTTAATCTACTGGAAATGTCTTCTGCCTGCTGATACTATTTTGTGAGCATTGTTAGCCCCAAGAGGAAAAGAAAATATTACTGTTTCCCTGTCCTCCCATCCTTTTACTCGTTCATCAGCTTTGCTCTTTTTTTGCTGCTAAGTATAGACAGTTTTTCAGTCTACAAAATCTTGCAAGGCCTAGGTGAAAACAAATTAACCTGGTAGACATAAAGTTGAATTGCTTCAGAATCGATTTTGATAAGATAGATTTTATATTTGTATTACAGCTACTTATCTTAAGGACAGTTGTGATACCCCTAGAATAGTAACAATGAGAAGATGGCTTTGTTTTCCCAAAGAACTGGATTTACGGATGCCTTGGGATTGTTGTCACTAAAAGCTTGGAAAGCCTATGTGCTGAAACACTGACCTAATTACAGGGAGAGGGTAACTAAGAATCTGTAGGTTTCATAAGGGGAAATCCTGATTCCCACCCAGCCTTTGGTGACAAGAACAGTCCACTGTATGAAATATTACTTTCCTTATATTTCCTGCTTTATTTATGTGAAGTTATTTTTATTTTCTAGGTCATATGCTGCTGAACTTAAGCCATGGCAAGCAAGACTTCTTTAAAGAGATTGTGGAATCTTTTGCAAACAAGAGTGGTTCATTTACATTGTTTGATAGCCTGTTTGAGAGCGGAGCTTCTAGAGAGAGATCTTTTATTGGCACGGATGACATTGGAAATGTCAGTACACAAGCACCAGTGCAAGTGGAACTTAATAAATATGATATAGGTAAGAGGTGTTACTTTCTGAAACTCAATACAACTTTTTGTACCAGAAGCTCATCTACAAATACTTCATACTGCAGCAAAAGACAAATAACCTGGAATAGCTGTCCAAAGTTGCCTTGATGTCCTAGGCAAGACTTGAACTTTATTGCAAAGTAAAGAAGTGCTTCTTGAATAATTCCTTAAAGATTTTGGAGATGTAAATAGGTTTGTTAAAAGGACTGAATATGGTGGGGATGGAAGTGAAAGGAAATCAGAGAATCACCCTCTCAGAAACTTAAGGGGTTGATGTCTTGAGCACTTATATGAACTGTATACTTGATATGTTTGTCTAATTTGAAGTTTGTAATCTTTCATAAGTAAAAGTTAGAATCTTGATGCTCCTTGGTCTGCAAAGTATCTTTGGCTGCTGTGACGGAGTGAAATGTGAAACGTGAAACCCAGCTTTGATCAGATAGAGCTTGTGCTGGCTTGTAGGAAGTTGACACCTGCATCCAACTTTGTTTTTGCACAGGTGCTGTTCGGATGCACAATGGCAGTCTCCAGCACCTTGTGTGGCTTGGCTTGCAGTGGAACTCTATGTCAGTCTTACCCCCAATGCGCAAATGGTTAAAACAGCTTTTTCACTTGCCCCAAGAAACACTGAGGCTTGAGACAGATGCTCCTGAATCCATTTGCCTCTTGGACCTTGAAGTAAGTAAACTTTCCAAGTTCTTAAATGGACTATACAATTTCAATTTTTTGGTATTTAATACCTTTTATTTATGTTTACAAAAACAGGTATTTCTACTTGGGGTGATATTCACTAGCAACTTACAATTACAAGAGAGGTTTAATTCTCACTACAGCGCACATCAGCCTCAATTCTTACCATTGCCAGTGTGCAAACAGCTCTATACGGAAAAGCAAAGATCCTGGTGGGATGCTGTTCGTACTCTTATTCAGAGAAAAACAACGTAAGGCTTTTTCAGTTCAGAAGTATTTGACCAAGACTTTAGGCAGCTTCTGCTACAGCAGCTTGGACTGGTCCCAATTCATTATTGTAAAATTAAATTTATTTTTTGATGTATTTTGGACATTGAAGCTTTGTTGTAGTAGGGACTTGATACACTTGAAAGATTTGTAAAAATGGAATTTTCATTTTTAACAATGCATTAATAAACTAAACTCTAAAGAAGCAGGTTAGGACTAAAACTGCAGGCTATATTCATCAAGCAAATGGCATGTGAACAGATTAAAAATAGAGAATACTAATCAAGGAATGTTTCTTCTGATATTCAGACCAGGAACAGCAGCAAAACTGAGACTTATTGTACAGCATGGAATAAGTACTCTGCGAGCACTGGAGAAGCATGGCCTTCAACCTGCCTTAATTATACACTGGGCAAAAAGCCTACAAAAAACAGTAAGCTGAGATTATTTTTAAAGATGTAGAAGCCAAAGTGTTTATTTTCTCTTTTATTTTCCAAACGATAAACAGACAGAGAGGGGAGAAAAAATAAATCAGATGGGGTTGTATTATTGAGAACTGCTGTTTATTTTGTCAGGTGAATTAGTTGCTCCAGTTGTGCTATGAAGTACTGTGTCTTAAAATGAAGGGTTGTTTATGTGTATGTTGCTTTACATAGCTCTTCAGATAAACCCCCTGAGCTTTATCTCAAGTGTCAGAAAAGCACTTCTGGAACTTTTCAAGAAAACAGGAGAAGGATATCTATGAATAATATTTTTACTTGAATTTGTTGAAATAACATATGGGCTTCTATTTTCTTTTCTTCACCAGGGCATTAGCCTTAACTCCTTCTATGACCAGAAGGAATACATTGGACGAAGTGTCTACTACTGGAAGAAAGTTTTGCCTATGCTGGGAACTATCAAAAAGAAGAGGAGTATTCCTGAACCTACTGATCCTCTCTTTAAACACTTCCATAGTGTAGACATTCAGGTACAGATTGATTAAGCCAAGGTTGAAGTAAGAGAGTATCTACGTCAGAAACCTACATAGTTCGGGGATTTTTCTCTACATTGTACAACTCGTAGTTATTACTATAAAACTGTTAATTATGAGATTGGGTAGTATCAATGTCTGATAAAGGGGGGAAATCTCTTCTTATAACTTTATTCTTACCTTTAAAGCTGTGCATATGATAGGAAGGCACTGAACACCCTTAGTACCAACTTTATTTAAAAAGCATTTTCTCTGTATTATAGGAAGAAGGTAATAATGGATGTTATTCCATTTTTAGGTATGACTTGTCTTTCACTTTCTTTGTAGGTCTTTCAAGTTGCAGCATATGAAGAAGAGGCACGTATAGCATTTGCACTGTTAGATGCAGTTGATGGCAAGACTGATGATGCTTTATTAGCATTTGAAGCTATTAAGAATGTGGTTTCATACTGGAATCTTGCTGTGGTAAGTTTATAAATTGCATTACCCCAAAATGCTTTGCTTTATTCCATTGCCTTCTGGCTGCATTCTGTTCCTCAGATCTTTCAAAGAAAGGCAGAAGAGATTGAAAGTGATGCCATGCTGCCAGAAGAACAAGAAGAACGCCAAACCTGTCTCCTTAAAAGCAAGCATTATCTAATGAAGATCATTGAGGAAAGCTCCTCAGATATGTCAGTAACTGAGAAAGTAAGTAATTCTTGCTTTAAAAACTTCTCTCAAGAGAGGCAGTGGCCTTAGCTACTGTTTCAGAGTAAAACTGCATTTATGTTAGGTTTTTTAGACTAGGCTTTGCATTAAGGCATGTTAAACTTATTTCTTTACTCGAGACAAATAACCTGCTTAACACCAGTGGGTTGGATAAACTCTGGGTAGCTTCTGTAACCTAGATCATGCAATATTCTGACTATTCTGTGAAAGCTTTAGTGTAAACAAATAGCTTTGTCCACTATCTTTCTATAGAGGCTGATAGTTTGAAAACAGAATTAATGTTTGTGTGAATTGTTTTCTTACATTAATCTTAACAGCTTTAGAGCTTTGCTGAAAAAACAGCATTTATATAATGAAAGCCTTGTGAGTTGTTCAGATGGAATTCTGAATGTAATCTTATTCTGAGGGAGGATTGCAGTTATGACTCATGTTTCAATTAACTTTCTAGTTGCCGGTGTCTATTGAAACTGTGAGGGAAATGCTAGATACAGTGATCCAGGAACTTGGCGAGAATGGTGAAGAGGGAAGTCCTGCCTTCAAAAATGGTCTATCACAAGCTGTAGATTCAGAGATGAAACATTCCACTTCATCACCAACTAAGTTCTCTCTTTCACCAACTAAGAGCTACAAGGTATATTAACCAGCTATTATTTTAGGGAATTTTTATGTTTGAATAAAAATTCACAAGATTCAATTAACTTGTTTTTCTAGTTTTCTCCTAAAACTCCTCCTCAGTGGGCAGAAGATCACAGATCTATACTTCAAATGATCTGTCAGCAAGTGGAAGCTTTAAAGGTAAGCAATTTTGTCACCATATTCAGTGAAGAACAGTTGGCTTTTTAGTTACAGTAAGGACTTTGTGATAATAGCATGGGCTACCTTTAAAGTTCCTAGACTACTACTTAAATCAGTGGAATTATCTTCTGCAAACTTCTGCCGAAATTGAGTGCAACAGTAAATCTTTTTGCTTAAAACCTCTTTATTTGGGACTTGGGGCAGCTGTGCAGAGGCAACCATTCAAAGGACTGTATGCAGAAAGAGTTCTCCTTTCATCAGCTTGGTTCTCATCCACTTGGCTTTTTTTTTTTTTTAATGCTGGCTTTAGAACACAATTTTAGTACTTTGTTACTGCATGAGCAGATCTTGGATGATTCTGCCAGGTGCCTCTTTATATTCTTCCCTGCTGCCCCCCCGTGTTCCTCCCTACCCCCCTCCCCCCCAGCCTGAACATGCTTTTAAATAGCAGAAGGGTAGGGATCATTCCCTATGTTTTCTTCTACTTCTGATCACACTGCCTTGACAGAATGAAATGCAAGAAATGAAACTGAATAATTCCAATTCAAGTGCACCATCTCATCGGTGGCCTGCTGAAAGCTATGGAACAGATACAATGTCAGAGGGTTATCAGAGAGCACAAAATCTTCATGAAGCTCCATTAACAGGTAAATTGCTGCTGAGTTTTTATCTAAACACTTAGCTAAACCAAGTAAGACTTCTGAAAATATTGCAGAAATGTGTTAATGATTCACAATTAAAAACAGATTGCTGGGGAGAGTCCATTCAAAACAACAACAAGAAATAAAATATAAACTATTTCCCTGCTGTTTCTTTTTAGTTGCTACCACTGGCCCATCTGTTTACTACAGCCAGTCACCTGCCTATAACTCTCAGTATCTTCTCAGAACTGCCGCAACCAATGTAACACCAACAAAGGTAAGAACAAATCTGTCCACTTATGCTATTTCCAATGATGAACTGAAAATTATTGCTTTTGGTTCTGTATGGAGTTGGATATAATTGCTGTTCCTTATATAGTGTTTGGTAAACTTGGACTGCTAGGGATACACTGATAATTTCTCCTTGACTAATTTTTGGGATGTGGGGTTTGGGAGGAAAAGCCAGCAAAATATGTCTGTAACATTTTAGTACATGTCCCCTACACGGTACCTCTGAGAACATTTATATATATATTTTTTTTTTTCTCAAAGTAGTATGGCAAAAGAGAATGGGGCTTTAAAGGCTTTTTAAATAGAAAAACAACCCACTCATCTTGTGCCCCTTTTTCAATGCTTCTTTTCAGATGCCTTTCAAGATTTAAACTAAGTTGAAATTAGTTTAGATTTCAACTCATATAACAGTATGCCCTGCTTTTAGGAGTGCATGTTATGTTACGTGGATTTTAACACAGTTACCGTAACAAGCAAAGCAATTGTTTTCTGCTTTTTTTTTCCTTTAGGCTCCTGTCTATGGTATGAACCGACTTACACCCCAGCAACACATATATGCCTATCAACAACCAATGCATACACCACCTCTACAAAACACTTCTGCTTGTATGTTTTCCCAAGAAATATATGGCACACCTTTGCGTTTGGATTCTTCCACTACTGGACTCATTTCTCCTCGTGCAGGTGATGATTACTACAATTACAGTGTTCCACAGGCAAGCACAAATCCACCATTACCTCAGCCAGGCTATTTCACAAAGCCTTCAGTTGCGCCGCTGACTTTAAAGCCTGCAGAATCAAAAGTGTTAGAATTTTCGAAATCTAAATTTGGACAGCCAGGAACAGCAGAAGGATCAAAACCATCTCTGCCAACACCCGCACAGTCAAGTCAGCCAACAACTTTTAAATTCAACACTAACTTCAAGTCTAATGATGGAGACTTTACCTTTTCTTCTCTTCAAGTTGCAGCGCAGCCTCCTAATGCACCTTTTAATAGCCGTGAAAGCCTCTTGGGTCTTCTGGCGTCTGATAAACCATTACAGGATGATAGATACATTGAACAAAAACCAGTTAATGATCACACAAATAGTCAAAGAAATGTCTTCAGTTTTGGCAATAAAAATATTCCAGCCATCTCTTTTAGAGAGAGCATGGGACAAAATGCACACAAAAGCATGGGGTTTGAGAAGAGCGATGTGTTTAGCGTCCAAGAACCAAGCAAGCCTGTATTTACGACTTCAAGTTCAGATTTGGCCAATAGAAGTCATGAAACAGAGGGAGGAAGCACCCATGGTGGAGATGAGGATGATGATGGTCCTCATTTTGATCCTGTGGTGCCACTCCCTGACAAGATTGAAGTAAAGACAGGTGAGGAAGATGAAGAAGAATTCTTCTGCAACAGAGCCAAGCTCTTCCGTTTTGATGCAGAATCTAAAGAATGGAAAGAAAGGGGTGTTGGAAATGTCAAAATACTGCAACATAAAGTATCTGGCAAATTTCGTCTCTTAATGAGACGGGACCAAGTATTGAAAATCTGTGCAAATCACTACATAAATACTGATATGAAATTAACTCCAAATGCTGGATCAGATAAGTCATTTGTATGGCATGCTTTAGATTATGCAGATGAGTTGCCAAAACCAGAACAGCTTGCAATTAGATTTAAAACACCAGAGGAAGCAATGCTTTTCAAAAGTAAGTTTGAGGAGTCACAGAATATTTTAAAAACCTTGGGATCAAATGTTGACACATCTGTGACTCAGAGTAGTGGGACTGCAAGAGAAACAACAAATCAGGACATCAAGGAGCCTTGCAGATCCATTTCTGGGACCCTGAACTTTGGCTTGCAGTTCCCAAAAGATGGAGTGAGCAGTGAATCTGATAGCAAAGGCAACCTTACAGCTACATCAACTGTGTCTGGCCCTACCACTTTTTCATTTGGAAAGGAAGCCCTGCGAACCTATTCTTGTGATGGGTTTGGGCAGCATCTCTTGAAGAAGGATCAATGGGAGTGTAAAGTGTGTTTAGTTCCAAATGAAGCAACTGCAAAGAATTGTGTATCGTGTCAAAGTCCAAATCCAGATACGTGGGAAAAACATGACACCCCATTAACTGAATCTGCTGCAAGTTTCAAAGCCAGTGGCAACACTGTGCAGGACAAATTTGGATCTGCTTTTGCTAAAAAGGAAGGTCAATGGGACTGCAGTGTCTGTTTAGTAAGAAACGAACCCACTGCCTCTAAGTGTGTTGCCTGTGAGAATCCAAACAAAAATAATACAGCAGTATCTAGTCAACAAACTTCCTTTAAATTTGGCCAAGCAGTTGCTCCAAAGGCTATTCCAAATGACTTGGGAACTGCATTTTCTAAAAAAGAAGGTCAGTGGGACTCCTCTGTATGCCTAGTCCAAAATGAACCGGAAGATGTGAACTGTCATTCTTGTCAGAATCCTAACTTACAAAGTCAACCAAATGTGCCTGTACCGACTGTTCAGGCATCCCCTGCTCCCAGATTTGGTTCCACTGCTGATGCAAGTAAGCCACAGAAAAATGGATTTGAAGGGCTTTTCACTAAAAAGGAAGGGCAGTGGGATTGTACTACTTGTCTTGTGAGGAATGAAGGTTCTTCACTAGCCTGTGTAGCCTGCCAAGCACCAAATCCATTTGATAACGCTGCTGGTGATGCTTCATCAACTCCTCCTTCTGGCTTGAAAAGTAAATTATCAGAATCTCTTGGAGGGCAGTCGGGAACAGGCTTTAAGTGTGATTTCTTAGAAAAGGGCTTTAAGTTTGGTCATACTGAGCAAGGCAAGGCACCATCATTTACATTTCAGATTCCTTCTGATACTGAAGCTAAGTCCGCAAAAGGATTTAGCTTTTCAATGCCAGTGCCTCCAGGCGGATTTAAATTTGGGATACAGGAGTCTAATAAAAATACCACAAAGAAAGATGAGCCATCCAAAGAGTGTACAACTGGCTTCCTAAAAAGCACTGATGAAAAAGACAAAAAGGACCTGCCTTCAGATAGTGGAATTACATTCCAGTTTCAAGAAACAGCAACCAAGGAGAAAAGTGACTTTGTTTTTGGGCAAAATAGCAGCACTTTTACTTTTGCGGAGCTTGCAAAAAGTACTCCCAGGGAAAGCTTTCAGTTTGGCAAAAAAGATCCTAACTTCAAAGGCTTTTCAGGTGCAGGTGAAAAGCTGTTTTCTTCGCAGGTTTCTAAAATGGATCACAAAGCAAACACATCTGCTGACCTTGGTGAGAAGGATGATGATGTGTATAAGACAGAGGACAGTGATGATATACACTTTGAACCTATAGTTCAGATGCCTGAAAAAGTAGAACCATTTACAGGAGAGGAAGATGAGAAAGTGTTATACTCCCAAAGAGTAAAGCTGTTCAGGTTTGATCCAGAAACAAGCCAGTGGAAAGAACGTGGGGTAGGCAACCTGAAGATTCTTAAAAATGAAGTTAATGGCAAAGTAAGAATATTAATGCGGCGTGAGCAGGTACTGAAGGTGTGTGCGAATCACTGGATAACAACAACAATGAACTTGAAACAGCTGTCTGGCTCAGATAAAGCATGGATGTGGATGGCCAATGACTTCTCTGATGGTGATGCGAAGTTGGAACATCTGGCAGCAAAATTCAAGACACCAGAGCAGGCTCAGGAGTTCAAACAGAAGTTTGAAGAATGTCAGAGGCTACTACTAGATATACCCCTGCAGACGCCTCATAAACTTGTTGATACAGGTAGGACAGCTCAACTTATACAGAAAGCAGAAGAAATGAAGTGTGGCTTAAAAGATCTCAAAACATTTCTGACAGATGACAAAACTAAACTGTCAGAAGAGGAAAATGTAAACTCTGTTTGTGCCAGCAGTACTTCTGATCTGATTATAAAGCCACATGCTGAAAGTACTGGGCCTACTCTGGAATGGGATAATTATGACTTGCGTGAAGAAGCATTGGATGATAGTGTAAGTAGTTCTGTATATGCTTCACCTCTTGCAAGTAGCCCTGTAAGGAAAAATCTGTTTAGATTTGGAGAGTCTACCACAGGCTTTAGTTTCAGCTTTAAATCTGCCTTGAGCCCATCCAAATCACCCGCAAAGCAGAACCAGAGTAGAACATCAGTAGGCACAGATGAAGATTCTGATGTTACTCAAGAAGAGGAGAGAGATGGGCAGTACTTTGAACCTGTGGTACCTCTGCCTGACCTTGTGGAAGTGAGCAGTGGTGAGGAAAATGAGCAAGTTATCTTCAGCCATAGAGCTAAGCTCTACAGATATGATAAAGATGCTAATCAGTGGAAAGAGAGAGGTATTGGGGATATCAAGATATTACAGAACTACGACAACAAACAAGTGCGTATAGTAATGAGAAGGGACCAGGTACTAAAACTCTGTGCCAATCACAGAATAACACCAGATATGAATATGCAACAAATGAAAGGATCCGATAGGGCATGGGTATGGACCGCATGTGACTTTGCAGATGGGGAAAGGAAAGTAGAACTTCTAGCTGTGCGATTCAAGCTGCAAAATGTTGCAGATTCATTTAAGCAAATTTTTGATGAAGCCAAGCATGCCCAAGAAAGAGACACACTGATAACACCTCTTTCTTCTCGTGCTACTACACCAAAGGAATCTCCGTGTGGTAAAAATGCTGTAGCTGTACTAGAAGAAACTACCAGAGAAAGAACTGACCTCAGCCATGGTGATGATACTTGTGATGGAACTGTAGAGGTTGCAGAGGTGTCAAGCACTTCTGAAACACCAACAAAAACAGTTGTTTCTCCTCCGAAGTTTGTATTTGGGTCTGAATCTGTTAAGAGCATTTTCAGTAATGAAAAGTCAAAGACATTCACGTTTGGAAATACTTCAGCTACTGGTTCTCTCTTTGGCTTCAGCTTTAATCCTCCAAGAAGGAGTGAAGACCATATTCCAGTGTCTCAGAACACAGCACAGAAAGAACTGGAAGTCTCTGCACCACCAAAAAGCTCTAGTGCTCCTCAGAAGCATCTAGACAGCAAGGTAGACAACTTGCCTACTTCAAGACAAGATGGACCCTCTAACTTCTCATTTAGAGTTCTGGATAAAGGTGAGTGTCTATTGAACTAGTAACTTATTCAACTACACAACTTATTAAGCAGCCATCTCTCTGCTATTCATTACTCTCTTGTCTCAATAACATGTAGTTTCTTTCAGTTGTAATGTGGGTACCCACATCTTCACAAGTTCAAGAGTTTCAAGTAAAAGAATTAATTTTAAGTCATAATAATTTTCATATAAAAATGAAAGTGTACGATGCAAGGTAAAGTTTTGTTGATTACTGAGAAAGGAGGAGCTGTAACTCTGAAATGTTGTACCTGAATCTCAGGCTTAAGTGTTTAAAGAAGGAGCTGTGGATTCACTTTGTGAGACTTAAATAGGTATTTGGATTTGTAGTGTATGTACTTGGGCCTTTGCTCTGAATGAGAAGTGTGAGAACAGCAAATGCATGCTTCAGCTAAAGTTTCTAAAATTTGAATTATCCTCATGATTGAACAGGTGGGTGTTGTAAAACTGCTCCCTGTACATTTTTTTAAAGTCTTAGTTATTGATCTCTGCAATTTTGGGTGTGTAGCTTAAATAACACCAGATGTTAGCCTCTTTCCTTAGCCTGAAAAGAGATCATGTGATTGCATCCTCAGTTATACAGTTTCTGACACTGTCTGAAAAAGATGAGCTTGCAGAAGTTGTGGCTGCAACACGACCACTGTAATGTGCTGAAGTGTCTTTGTAAGAAAAATATTTACTAGCATTTTAATTGTAGAGTACTCTTTGAAGGTTTCACGTGCTGCTTCCCATCAGTGCAAAACTGATCAATCAGATGATAGTTTTTAATTTGCATACTGGTCTCAGAATTATGAAGACATACCGTCTGTTTATTAAGTAAAGTATGATAAATAAAGGGATGTGGGGAAGATGATAGCTGCGGGTGTATTCACATAGGTTGGATAAGGCTGTGTAGAATTAACAGATGGAATTTCCTACTGTGAAATATGACTATGGAATGCTTCCAGAATATAGATAAGTCTGTTTTACCCTTTTAAAATTACAGGTAAACACTTATATCCAAACAATTTATTTTTTTAGGCTTTAATTTTAGCCTTTTTAAATCTAATCCAATGGCCTTTTGGACAAGCACATCTTCCTTGCAACCTGATAGTAAAGGTATTTACGTACTGCACTGAATGTGTGATAAGAACACTTTAGCAGGCATGGACAGTAACCCAACTGTGGCAAAGCAGTTGGCTCAGTAATCCTTGTAATTAACATGCATGCTGAAGAAGAGTACTTAAAATTGTGTGTCTGACTACTGTATTTGTCCTGTGGGAGAATGTCTCTAGCCCTTAGTATGTTAATATGAGCTAGCACAATGGATGGCCCTGTTTAAGCTTTTGGCTTCTGTTTGCCTTATTTTCTGAGAGTATCTGCCTTGCACTTCTGTGTCACGGTTTTACTGAACATGCACACTGGATCTCTAAAATTCCCCTTTTCTAAAGAAATTAAATTATCCTGTTACTTTTAGAGAATACTTCTTGGTGTCTGAGGTCTTTCCACTTCAGTGAAATATGCCTGAAGATCTTGCAGGTTATCTAGTAAAAAGCTTGAGTGTATTTAGTGTATCTGATGGAAATGTTTACTTCAGTTTCCCAGTTAATAATGTTAACTACTGCACTTCTAAAAACCAGGAGTGCACAGAAATGAGGCATCTCCTGAGCTATTGTTTATCTATATATACTTCATGTAAATATGAAGTCCACCTTAGCTGATCATAAAGCTTTTGCTGAGTTAACCACTTTGTTTACATTCAGAACCTGTAACCAAAACTCTTACAGCTTATAGTATGATTATATGTCATTATAAGATGTTACTAACAGTGCTGCTTGTATGCTTGCTGTAAGCATCCTCAACTTACATAGTTAACAGCATTTTAATTTTAAAAAGTAAATTTTTATTCTAGTCTGCACAAGACAGTGTTGTAGTTAGTGTCTTACATTGCTTAAAAATCTCAATGTCACTCCAAGCACCATTTTCCGAAAACTGTATTTCTAGAGAAGCTGTTCTCATTTAAATGCTGAACTCCTGTTCTGTATATATGATCTAAAGTCAACTGTTCTGTGTGTTTTAGGCATCCCTGTGCATGGAGTTTATTAACAATTCAGTTTTATTTTCATCATTTGATGTCCATAATGTGAAGTGATTAAGCATTCTGCGCCAATGCATACATGCCAGAACTTATGCTACCTCAAATAGGTCCTGTTTTTTATTAGGGGTGTGTGAGGGCTGGGGTCTATGTGCTTATTTAAGAAAAACAACCAAAAAAGATATTACTTTCTGGTACTTCGGACTGTTCTTCACTTCTGCTTTTCTAATAACTAGTATATTATTATATACTTAATGATTTATTTACAGTTGATAATTCTCTTCAGTGTAGCTTTTTGTTTGCTTTGTTTTGAGCTCTGACTTAATAGCAAATGACTTTGAGAAGTCCTTTCTAAATTAGGCTTTCAAGCCTACTCAATGCAAATACAAGCTGAGGCTTTCTCATGGGGAACGTCTTTCAGGGAGCTTCTGAGTTGTGCTAGAACAACATTCAGAAGAAATTTAACCACATAGTAGTTCTGCAACTCCATGCAAAAGTACTTAAGTTTTCCTCAGGTCAGGTCATGAGCTTTTTATAAGTGCTTTACAAGTTTGAATCAAATTTCTGTCAGTTGCATGTTAGTGTATCAGTTAATGCATTAAGGTTTAAACTGGTGCTTTTCTCTTATATCCAGAAGATAGCCACTGATATGTGCATGAGGGAGGAAAAAAAAAAATCAGTATTGTGACTAGATATTTAGGCCTACCTGGTGTCAATATGAGTTGAAACAAAAGCAAAATACAATATACTAGTGAAAAGAACGGTATTGTTCTTTCTTTTGTTCCTTCCATATGCTAGCAATGTTTTGTGTGGTTTGTTTCCCTGAAGTAGAAAGTTCTATTATCACAAAACTAGCAGTCTTTTAAGTCTTGTACATATGCGTAGCTCTTTGTTTTTATGGCTGCCTGTGAAGATATATTTCAGCTGTTTGCAGCATTTTTGAATAAGAAAAGTTTACTTTCTTGTAGGGAGAGTGAGTAGAAACTGATTCAGGTGAACCAGTGAACGTCTTGTCAGTCTTAATATTCTGAGGGCAGATACAAGTTGTAATCTTAATCTTTGTTGTTGAACCCTTTTGTCACTTTGAGTGGATGTTTGGAGCACTAGAATCTTAGTCTTTCTAGATCAGCTGCATGGAGAACTTTACCTCTGGATTAATCTGAAGTGACTTTTGAATTTATTTCTCTTATTTAGCTAATTTGTACAAAGACTACTGAAAGAGACTGCATGATAATTCTTTGAGAATGCTGTCTGTCAAATATGATGGACTATATCCTCTGTTGCCAGGGTCTTCTAGTTAGCTTTATACTTTAGATTAAAGGAAGCTCACACTTTTTCCATCTACCTGACTGAGTTTGGAAGATTTTTTTTTTGTTGAAGATAATTTTTTTTTAAAATTGTTTAATCCTAAAGAAAGCTGTCTTTTGCTGTAACCTTTAATGACTCCAAGACTAAATATTCCACAATTAAACTTGGTGCAAACTTAGTCCAATTGAGACACTTCCTTAAGAAATCTGAGTGAATAAAACAGATGCTAACATGCAGGATACCTGCATATCTTCGTAACATGGTGCAAGATGTAGGCCTAATTCTTAAATCAGCTATAGCTAATGAGTTTTTTGCATAAGACTGAGAAGATGTATGAAAACTTCTATAGCCTGCTGTCATTATATGAACTTAGAAATTTGCTATTCAATCATCTTATCCCACATTGACTTTATACAGACTAGAAAGAGCTATTGAGGTCTAAAAAAAGTGAGCAAAAAGGATTAGTCTCCAAGACTCTGTTGGTAATGGATTTGAGCTATACTCTGGTATATAAATGCCTGAAATTATTAACTTGTAATTAAAAGGAGTCAATTGGCCCAAAGGTTGGGGAGGGAAGACTTCAAAAAAAGACTTAAATTGAAACTAGTACTTTGGATTTTGCTTTTACTCTGTTATTCTTAATCTACTGGAAGATAACTAGTGGGAAATCTACTTTTAAAAAGCAGATTTATTTTAGTGTGCCAGCTGTGTTAGAGGATCAAGGGGCATGTCTATATAAACATTACACTTCTGTCCTTTCTCATCTTGCAATGATGAATATCAAATTGCATGAGCAGGAAAACTGGTGTTCCTCAGGAACTCAGTAGTAATCTGGTTCATAGATGAAGATTTAGGTTTCCACTGACTACATTGTGCCACAGATTTAGCAAATACAGTCTAATGAAAAGAACAATGAGCTTTTGAGAGCACTGTTCAAATTCTGCTGACTAGTTTTAACTCAAACCCAGGGAACATTTGAACAAACAGGTTGACTTACTAAAGAAATCAAATTGTTCTTAGAAATAGCCGATGCGTGGGCATTGGTGTGCTTATGGGATAATTTTTATAAATAGTTAACAAATTTGTCACACCTTTACCACCAACTTCTCCCTCTCAAAACAACACTAAAACCCCAACCAAACAATACATGATGCCTGAACTGATACATCCTTCCTTTGCTTCCACTCTCTGATAATAAACTCAAATCTTTGTTTCCAAAGCTGCTTATAGCCAGATGTTTTTCTGCAGTTTGCTCTACGCTAGGCTTTCAGCTTTAACCTTTGATTATGCAGTGTTTTTTCAATACAAGTGAAATGGAAAATTTAATGTTCAAGGAGAGAGGAGAAAAAGCTATATAATAAAATCGGTAGTGGTATTTGTCGCTGGAAAAGCTAATTAAATAGGCTGAAGGCAGTATTTTTGTTGTTCACCAAGGTGGAACTAAAAATTACTTTTGTAACAATAAAATTTTCAGCAACAGCTATGAAGGTAAATTGAGTTTAGCTAATAAAAAGCTAATATTTCCCATAGGTAATCTGTAATAAGTTATAGAAAAATATTAAACAGCAACTGAATAGAACTTAAAAGCACTTTTAAGCAATGCAGTAGGACATGTTGCTATAGACAACTTTTTTTTTCAGGCCTGAAGTTTGCCTCTCTACCTCTAGATAACACCTGCATTTGTTTGACATGAGGACTTAAATAATCCTTGTAACAGTATAAAGACACAGGCTTATTTCTGTTCTGAGAACTGAATTCCAAATGCAATAGAACAGGATGTAGTTGGGCATGCAGGTTAGAATTTCTGAAGTTTTAACAGGATGCTCTGTCCTAGCATCCTGTAACTTTGATTTTTGTGAATTTGTTGTGGATCAGCAGAAAATGTTTAGCCTCCAAATGTATAAATCAGTTCTGTAATAGTGGCAATGTGGTTTTAATGTTATTCCCTGTTCTGAAATTATTCAGTTTTAATGGTTTGTTCAATTTCTGTGAAAAGCTGAGAAGACAACATCAGAAGATGATCTTCTATCTGATGAGGTTATAATAGTTTACGAGTTAACACCTACCCCTGAACAGAGAGCTCTCGCTGGCTTTCTCAAGCTACCTTCAACATTCTTCTGTTACAAGAATAAGCCTGGATATGTGAGCGACGAGGATGATGGTAAGGAGTGACAAAGTTGATCTTTCTGTTGCCTTTCTGTGGGGAAAGGGTGTAATACACTCCACTGGTGCAGCCCCACCTTGAGCACTGTGTGCACTTTTGGGTGCATCAATATAAGAAGGACATGAAACTTGTTAGAATGTGTCCAGAGAAGAGTGACCAAGATGGTCAAGGCATTGAGGGGCAAGACTTACAAGGAGCAGCTGAGGTCACTTGGTTTGTTCAGCTTGCAGAAGAGAAGGCTGAGGGGTGACCTCATCACAGTCTACACCTTCCTTCGGGGGTCAGCAGAGGGAGAGATGCTGATCTCTCTGGTGACCAGCAATACGATATGAGGCAATGGAATGAAGCTGTGTCAGGGGACGTTCAAATTGGACACTAGGAAAAGGTTCTTTACAGGGAGGATGGCTGGTCCCCGGAACAGGCTCTGCAGGGAAGTGTCACGGTACCAAGCTTCTCAGAGTTCAGGGTAAATCTGCGCAACACTTAGTCATGTGGTTTAGATAGTCCTGTGAGGAGCAGGGAGCTGGACTCAATGATCCTTACGTGGGTCCCTTTCAACTTGAGATATTTTGCGATTCTGTGAATACTATCAGAACTGTTAGACACTAAAATGTTTTTGTTTGGATTGATGGGAAATAATCCTGTCATCTTTATGGTCAAAGATGTACACTCAGGTCTTCAAGACAGAATAGTACAATGGAGCCCCAGGGATGACTAAAGGCAATTTGTATTGGTATCTTCTGGGTGTTGACACTCATATTTCCAATGCAATGTAAGACTAAATAATCAGATGTTTGAGCCTAGTCTCATTTGAGCAAGAAGCTTACTTCTGTAACTTTTTAGAGACATACAAGGCAGCCTTTATCAAAAAGGAACATGCTCAGGTTTCCTAAATGCTTGACTAATGGCTTATTTTTCTTCTACAGCAAATTCCTAACACTAAAACTGTAAATATTTTATATCAAATCTTACTGCATGCAACTGAATTACTCTTAATTTTTCAGCAGCAAATATGTTATATGGAAGTTCTGAAGTATTGTATTCAACAGAACATGGGAGAAGACAAGTCCCCTACTACAAATATCTGAGCTTGCTATAAATAAAAGATCTTCAGTCTTCCTTACAATTTCTGTTTAGTGGTACTCTTAATAAAATCACTGAGTAAGAAATGTGCTTCCTGAAAACAAAACCTGTGCCAAGCATCTGTAACAATCCAGGCTGAAAAAAGTGTCAATTGCATGCCAAAGGACCTGTATGCAAAACAGGAAGTGAAAGCTTACTTGCTGACCTGTAGAACTCTTAAAACATAAGTAAGAATTAGGCATGCTTGCTAGGCTTGTGAGTCGGAAGGGCCTAGCACATTTCTCTGTACTTGGAGGATGCCTGAGAACTTAACACTTGTTTCTTGTATTTAAGATGAAGACTATGAAACAGCTGTTAAGAAACTTAATGGAAGACTGTATCCCAGTGATTCAGAAGATAAAAAGAAGTTGGAAGGTCCTGTAAAAGGTATGTCTTAAAACACAGTACTTAAAATTTCTTATATACTGAAGCATAAGCTCTAAATCTGAAAGACGCTTGGGCACTGAAATTAACGTTTCCTGAGATAGTTTTTAGAAGCACTGATGCTGGGAGTAGAAAAGCTGCATCTCAAAATACAGCTTTAATCTCAGTATGTTGAACTATTAAAGTGGTACCTGAATGAGAAATGTACATTTCACGTTGCCTCTAAACAAGAACATCAAAGTGTCTTCCTACCTTGAGCTGCTCCTTTTTCTGAATATGAAGAATTCAGCTTGGCATGATACTGTAGAAGACAAAACTTGCCCGCATCTGTGAATACTTGCTGTTTCTGCAGATAGTAAATTTAAATTAAGCTTATGAGTTAATATTGTTCAATTAAAAAAAGGTGTTTGGTCTTTATACAGCTGTAGAAGATTGAATTTGCTGCTTGTGTTTATGTCTACTTTGACTGTGACTCAGACTTCAGTGCTGCGTAACTGAAAATCTGGGTAGATACTTCTAGAAGTGAAGTTTGGGGGGTTTTTGAGGATATGGGCTAGAAAGAGGTGGTATACATTGAGCCATTTGAAATATGAGCAGATGTTGAAGGAAGCTAGTGGTAGAGTGCAAGATTGAACTCTTCATCATTTCATGGAAATTCCCTGATAGCAATAGAAAACCAAGTATGATGAACTTCCAATTGTAGTCACCCTGAGTAATGTTAAGTTAGTCGTCACTTCTACTGCTTAAACAGTAATGCTATTTGAAAAACTCTTGAAGTCTTACTTCAAGTCGCTCTGGCTATCATGAGGTTATTTTATAATGTAGGTGCCAAAAAACTATTTTGTTATTTAGCTGCCTTCACAGCTCTTTTCCACTAATATTTATTCTTTGCAGTAGGCATCACAGGAAAAAGTGAATTCGACAGTGAAAGAGAATGTGTTACTGCTTGCGAAAATAATTCAGCTCCTGAGGAGAAGGCTAAAGCACAAACTCTGCAAGTCCCTTCTACATCTGTCTGTGGTGTCAGCAGTGATACTGAGAATGACAGTCCAGAAGACATTCAGAGAGAAGTTAAAATTCAAGAAATTAAAGTAAGAACTAAATCTTTAAAATTTTTGTCATTAAACTTGTACAATTACTTCATATATGTGTGAGACTTTACACAGTTTTCACCTTGTGAGAACTAAAACATCCAGTGGTGAAAAACCATTTGACCCTTTTGTGGCTGTGCCTCAATTCTTTGCCACAGAAGCTTAGATCTGAATTTCTTTTCCCAAGGAAAGGAGGTACAGCTGTTCTCATCAAGTACAGAATGCTTTGGCTAGTAAATTACTCCTAATGTGTGTATATAAGGACTAACTGATTTCAGAAAGTAATAGTATTTTTTTGAAAGGATACTACTTCAAAGATACTTCAGTCTCTAGTCAAGATAATGTCCAGTGTGTTAAGTGTAATGAAGAACTTCAGAAAGCTTACAACAATTTTTCCTGGTGTTCTTTTTTTCTAAAATGACTATTAGTCGCTGGAGGAGGTGGTTTGAATACTAGGCTCTTCTAGCTTATTTGCTTATTACTTTACTTTTTTTATTAATCTCAGGAGAATGAAGTTACAAGCTCAACTGACTTAGTCTGTACCAGTAAGGAAGAAGTCCCTACTCCATCAGCTGGTGAGGTGACAGTATTTGTCCAGTCACCTACCAACAATGAAGAACCAGATTCCACCACGGAAACTGTTAATGTATCACAGACTCTATCAGGAGCTGATGACAAACCTGTAGACTTGTCAACTAAGAAAAGTGATTCAGAGTGTTCAGAGGCAACACAAGGTAAAGTCAGGGGTATGTTCTGGTTTTTTGTAGGAACTTAAATATGCTTCTCTGTAGATTAGTTTCTCTAATGTAGCTGCTGCCTTGCAGAGTAGTAGTACCAATACTGAATTAGAAGCACAAGTACCAATCTAGTAAAAATGTGACTGGGGATTAAAATAGTTATATGCATCAAATTCTGGTATGTTCAAATGGCACTACTACAGAGCAATGCTAGTATCTGTTGTATAATTCATGTACTCTGTCTCATTAGTTTACTGTTAAATACTGTATGAATATTAGAGCTCTGTGGATCTTCACAGAAGTAGCATGCTGAAACTATCTCGCACAGTCTTGAGTCCTCTTTAAAACCATAATAAATGACTGTCATTATGACAGGTGGCATGCAAACTAAAAATCTATTGTAAAGGAAAAATACCATAGAGACTGCTCCAGTTTGTTTTTGTGACTACGTAACATTAAACACATCTTCTTTAAGAAAGGCAGAGAAAAACCTTTGACTTTCCCCTCTTATTTGATAGGAGACACAGTCATCTCATTTGGTTTCGGCAACACTGCAGGCTTGTCATTTGCAGATCTGGCTTCCAAAAACTCTGGAGAATTTGCTTTTGGCTCAAAAGGTGAGTTAAACTAGTCTGAGACAGACACTTAGCTGGACTTCGGCTTCATAGACTATACCTTTTGTGCACAACAGTTTTTTGCAAGTTTTTGTCCAGAAGAAAAAACTACACAAAGTTAAAAATGTAAATATTTTAATTATAGATAAAAATTTCAAATGGGCGAATACAGGAGCAGCTGTGTTTGGAGAGACAACCCGTAAAACAGATGAAGATGAAGGTGGTAGTGATGATGAGGTGGTACATAGTGATGACATACACTTTGAGCCAATTGTGTCCTTACCAGAGGTAAGGGGACTTCTGGAATATAAAACAACATTAAGATAAGCATGCTGCTAACAAAGCAAGTTTTTTTTTAAAAAATGCTTTGCTTGACTAACTGTGCTTTCTGTGTCATGTGCTTTGTTCTGTATTTCTTGCACTGCCTATGTAGAAACCTGCTGTTTTAAATCCTACTACAGCTTATCACTGGGGAAGTGTCTGGTGCATCAGTTAACGTCTTCAAAGTTTATTATATTACACCATGACTGAGTGTTGATCAGAATGCAGATTTGTACACACAACTTGTAAAAGCCAAAACTGAGTCATTATAGCACAGCTGAAAACCAAGGTGGGGAACTGAATAACTGTTAGTGCTAATACAGCTCAGCTGTGGCTTTGTATCAATGACTTGTAGATTCAGTTTTGTTAAAGCCATGCTAACTTAATTTTTACTCTAAGCTAGGCACGAGATTTCTAGAATCACTGAGTAATAAAGATGTAGTACAATTAACCTCACTTGAAGGCTTGGGAACAAACTTTGTTAGTTTGAAAATAAATTGTTTTTTCAAGAAGTAGGAGAACCTTCAGCTTTGAGGGTAGCCTGATGACTTAGTGAGGCTTCACACTGTTCATGCCTTGATTTGGTATTTAGCCTTAGTATGCCTAATAATCATTTCCCACTTTTCTGATGTTATAGCCATATCATCTGCCTTTCTTATAAATAATATAATTTAATTAGAGATTGGTATAATTATTAAGACAAATAGAGCACAAATAAACAGTATGCAGTGTCCTTTAATTTGAACAGCAAATCTGATGTGGTTGAAGACATGTTACGAACTATCTTCTTCAAAATTTTATATGCCTTTGCTCATCTAACACCCACCAAACCCATATGCAGCATGGCAAAGTAGTATTGCACTGCTACAATAATCTCAAAACAGCATAATTTCTTGGGCTCTTGAATTCTGAAAAGGTGAGGCATTTTACTCATTTTGGTGTGTGATGAATATGGTGTTGGAGAAAGGAACACATGGAACATTTTTTCATTGTAATATGTTAGAATTGTCATGAGTGTATGTAATACTAGTTAATATCATTGATGACAGCAGCTCTCTGGGAAATCACAGGTACTCCACTGTGCTGTTTTTTAGGTGGAGGTAAAATCTGGAGAAGAAGATGAAGAAATCCTCTTCAAGGAGAGAGCAAAACTTTACAGATGGGACAGAGATGCTACTCAGTGGAAGGAGCGTGGTGTCGGGGAGATAAAGATCCTCTTCCATACACAGAAGAAATGCTATAGAGTCCTAATGAGAAGGGACCAAGTTCTTAAAGTCTGTGCAAACCATGTCATCACCAAAGAAATGAACTTGGTGCCCTCTGATACATCAAGCAATGCTTTAATTTGGACAGCCACAGATTATGCTGGTGAGTTTTGTGGGTGGTTTTTGTTTTTTCTAGGTGGTCTGTAATTTCTGTGGCTTTATTTTTCCTTGGAGATTATATAAGATGAAAGCCATTCATTTCTGACTATACTGAATAGAACTAAAGAAACCTGTTCTTGGATTTATTTTCAGATGGTGAAGTAAAAGTAGAACAACTTGCAGTCAGATTTAAAAGCCAAGAAATGGCTAATTCTTTCAAGAGGAAGTTTGAAGAATGCCAGCAAAGCTTGTCAGAACTACAGAAGGGACACTTATCTCTGGCAGCAGGACTGTCAAAGGATACCAACCCTGTTGTGTATTTTGAAGTTTCTGCTGATGATGAACCTTTAGGACACATAACCATGGAGCTGTTCTCAAATATAGTCCCTCGAACTGCTGAAAATTTCAGGGCCCTGTGCACAGGAGAGAAAGGGTTTGGATTCAAGAACTCTAGCTTTCACAGAATAGTCACTGACTTTGTGTGTCAGGTAAGCATAACGGAAAGACTCTTGAGAGAATGACGTGCATCTTGACTAACAATGGCACTTCAAAAAATCACTGGTACAGGATAGCATGTTCTTGTTGTTAGAATGAATCCAGTGCTTTTTTCTACAAGGAGATGAGAAATGGTGCAAGCATCACATGCTGCTCTAAGCCAAATGCTTTTTATTTGCCAGCTGCCTGATGCTTTAGTGTTACCTAGTGTTGCCATGTTAGTGGGGAACTAAAAATGGAGATGGAGATCTCCTCTTACAGTGGACAAGGGGGCTGTTGCTGAACAGGAACACCAAGGAAAGTAGGAGTTCCCAAAACTACCATTCAGCATTGCATTCTCTCTCTGCAGAGGGGAACTTCTGTATGCTCGCCTGCTAAGAACACTTACTTTCCAGGCTTCTCTTACATTGTAAAGTGCACTTTGTATTTCAGATCATGTGCATGCTAAAACTGATGTTGCAAGTATTTTAGATGCTCAAGTTTCAATCTAAGAAGTCATCTAGATCTCATTATCGTGCAGTGGCCTGTTCTTAAAATACACTTTTCACCGAGAGTATCGGCCTGCAGAGCATCGGAACTCCCATGTAGACAGTATTGGTTTTAAAACTCTGTGTGCATTTGGTAGCACTAGCAAGTTCTTTATAAATGCTTAGGAGATTGATCATGGCTCAGATAGACTTTTCCTTTCCTAAAACTCTCAATAAATCAGTGAGTTTTAGTGACTTGTAACAGGCAGAATGAACGAACTTCCTTATGCACTACACTAATGTTCCTGCATGTCGCTGCATCCCTGAAGAGGAGACAGAACCTTCTACAAACTCAGCAGTAGACAGTAATATATGAATAGCTTGTCACCAGAATAAAAATTATCCAATTTCTTGATTAGGTATTACCTGTTTCTGAAGTATGCCCTTTATGGCTCTTTTGTTAAAACTCGGTGCCTTTCAGATAAGGAAAGCAACTTTTCTCGTTTAGGGTTTAAGCTTGTTTTGGGGTATTCCACATCCTATAAGGAATAGACTTCCTTGAAACAGTTAACTGCAGTATTATGTACCCTGACAAAAAGTGAGTTTTTATCACTTGAAATTAGTATATTCTAAGTTTGCTCTGCTTTGCCTAAACTTTCTTCAGATACAGTGAGAAACTTTTCAATGAGAATTAAGGCTTTCCTTAAAAGATATGATAACCTATACTGTCACCTTTATGGGTATGGTCAAATAATCAGGACTCAGAAGCTTGCTGCCTTGCAGAAAGAGAAAAGACACTGCTTGCTAGCAGTAGCTGCTCTCCTAAACAAGCAGTAATGTGGCAAAAGCTGCTGCCTGCATAGAAGCAAAAAATTACTGCTCATTGGTACCTTAATCTTTTTCACATGATCAGTTCTGTGCCTGCAGGGACTAAGCAAGGACAGGCCTCCAGTGAGATAATGCAAATCCCAGCTATTGGGGCTGAGTGATGCAGGAAACAGGCAGTGGGAAAGACACCTAGAGGGGTGCTCACCATGTGCAGCAGGAGGGTAGAATAAGCAAGAGAAGCTTTCCACTGTTGCTTCTGTTACGATGAACAAAGCTGCTGAAGCTGGGGTACTTTAGATCTAAGTAAATATGGTACTTGTGAAAACTAAAAATGAGTTTTTCCAAAGCAAAGGCTTTACTGTTGAAAGGGAATACAATTGGGCTGTTGGTTTATGTTTTGGGACTTGTAAGTTAATGCTGTGTCCCTTTTTTTTTTCTTAAGGGAGGTGATATAACTAACCATGATGGTACAGGTGGACGGTCAATTTATGGAGCAGCATTTGAAGATGAGAATTTTGAAGTGAAACACAGTGGTCCTGGATTGTTGTCAATGGCAAATAAGGGCAGGGATACGAATAATTCTCAGTTCTTCATAACACTCAAAAAAGCAGAACACTTGGACTTCAAGCATGTGGTATTTGGATTTGTGAAAGATGGAATGGACATTGTGAAAAAGATTGAATCCTTTGGTTCTCCTAAAGGGCTAGTAAATGGAAGAGTTGTCATTACAGACTGTGGGCAGATATAGAATTATTGCTTTGAGTATACAGATGTTCTAGCAGTATAAATCAGTATTTAGATGTTATTGACTAATTATTTCATCTTCTTAAAATGGACACTTCTGATGTATAAATGTAAAATTACAGCTTATAGTTGGTTTTTTATGTGCTCTAATTGATTTTTTTTGCATGTTAAAAGTTCAGACACTGGCATATTTCAGGTGTATTTGTGTTATCCTGACATATTTGTATTAAATGTCAAATTTTAAAAATTAAATCTTAGTCTTGTTAAAATAAATGTCTTGTCTTTGCTCTGGTTTGTTTACACAAAAAAACCCCAACCTTGCATAATTTGGCTTCCTGCTCTCATAAATCTCTATTTTGTGTATGCAAATTATAGGAGCTAATTGCTGGTCAGTAAACTGAAGGCCTTTGAAACTTACCATTTTGATGTGCAGAAAGCAAGCTGAGGCAGCTAGCAGGTTGTGCTAGCTGGTTTGTGCTGTCTGAAGTCTCTGAGTAGCACTGCAGTATTCAAAAGCTAGAGGATAGTTCTTAAATGTTCTGATTTTTTGCTAAAGCATGCTAATTTTTTTTTTTTTTGTACACAGTGATTCTAAACTACTCAGTTTAGTAAAAACTATCTCCTTGATGTTGGGATGTTACCTGAAATGCTGTAGTATAATCTGCTGCTAGTGCTGTCTTCTCATTATGTTCATTAGCTTAATCTGCTATGGCAGACTTCTCTGACCTCACTGCACACCTGAATTACTGTAGCTCACATATTGCAGGGTTGTTTCCAAACTTTGTCTCTCCATAGTGAATATGCATGAATAAATGTAGGGTTTTTTAAACTTTTCCTCTAAGCTCCGTGCTGGCCTTAAAAAGGGTTTTCTTTCAAGATAGCCAGTTTGGCATTATGATCTGTAAATTGGAATTATGTAACTGATGTATTCTGCCTTAAGTTATTTTTGCTGTTTTTTTTTAAAAAAAAAGGTAAACTTTCGATTCCATGTGTATTAATTATACATGTAACCACTACCGGTTTTATACTATTATTGTTTTATTTTATATCTTCGCCGTCCACGGTACGACAGTCGGTTGATGGATGGATCACTGGGGTAACGTGCCCCTGCGCCAGCCCCAGGCCGGCGGGGTGAGGCTGCGGCCTGGGTT